AACTAATTATTTCACATTATTAGAGGTGAAATTATGGGGATTTTTTTTTAAATTTCAAATGTTTTCTATTTTTTCTTATAATTGAGTATCCGAACCAATTTTTGCGCATCTCAATTAATCGCCGTGAACTAATCTCATCGCCTTTAAAGCCAGAGCTGCTTTCTTCTTGCAAACAAACTTACCTAGATCTATCCCAACCCAAACTCTCTCTCTCTCTCTCTCTCTCTCTCTCTCTCTCTCTTGTTTCTTGTTTCTTTTCTCTCCAACAAGATGTATAGCGTAAAAGGACTCGTTGATTCAGGTTTTCATCAGTCAGCTATTCCATCCAAGTTTATTATTGCGTCCTCGAGTCAAGAAGATGATACAGTCCTCTCCCAAGAAGAAGCAATCCCAACCATTGATTTTTCCCTACTAACTTCTGGTGATCCTGATCAACGATCCAAAGTCATCCAAGATATTGGCAACGCATGCCTCGACTGGGGATTCTTTATGGTATTTTTTAAATTTTCTTGCTAGCTAAATGGGGGAGAAGAATATCAGCTCCATTCTATATATATGTTGGAACACCTTGGTCCAACAAACAATTTTGAACACCTTGGTCCAAATAATAATAATTATTATTATTCCACATAAAAAAAAAATCACATAATTAAAAGTGGATATTAGTTCGTTCCTCTTCTCTATCTGTTTTTTTTTTTTTTCGAAGCTTGAGTGGCTGCATTCTTAGGTAATCAATCATGGTGTGCAAGAGAAGTTGATGGATGATATGGTGAAGGCAAGTAAAAGTTTTTTTGATATGAGTGAGGAGGAAAAGGGAGAGTACAACGGGAAGCAATTATTTGATCCAATAAGGAGTGGTACAAGCTTTAATGTCCTTGTTGATAAGTCATTGTTTTGGAGGGATTATCTCAAGGTTCATGTTCATCCCCACGTCAATTCGCCTAATAAGCCAGCCTGCTTCAGGTACCTTCACTTTTTTCTTTTTCCTTCAAAAAATGATTCATTCTGTTTGGTTTTGTGTTTCGAAAACAATTTTTAAATTTATTTTTTTTTTCATGTTTTATTGATTTTAGGGGGAAAAAATTCTTATTTTAGTCAAAAAAAATTTAGATGGATAATATACTCTTTTTTCGTTTTTTCTTTTTGTCAATTGATAGAAAATGAAATTAAATTAAATTAAGCAATACATTAAATTAAAAGGGTATCTACACACAATTTCTAATTTATAAACTTATATTCCATTAAGTTCTAACTACGATTTTTTGAATCTTTAAATTCCATTAAATTTTTAATAGTCGGAATTATCCTTCAAACAATGATTGTTCATCATTTATGATTACTATAAATGAACATGATGATTTGACATTTATTTTGATTCAAAACTTTAAAATATCAACTTTCAAATTAAAAAAAAAAATTATGGGCAAAAAAAAAATAAATAAAAAAAAAAGATTTTTTTTTTTTGAAAAAATTGAATTATTATTTGTGCAAAACTGAAAAAATTTGTGTTTATAAAGAAGCATGATGGTAGAACATTGATGTGTAAAACTGAAGAAAAAAAAAACTATAAAAAAGAAAAAAATTATGTTTGGTTTGAGTTTTTTGGATTAAGTTTTTGGAAACTGAGTTTTTTTATTTTTGTGTTTTTTGTTTTTAGTGAATATTTTTTAAATTTTAAACATTTATTTTACTTTTTTAGATGCACCTTACTTAGATGTATCCAAAAAATAAAAAATTTGTGAAAAAATATTTTAAAAAATTAATAAATATATAAAAATACAAAAAATGTACTGAATTCTCGTATTTGTTTTGTATTTGTGATATTTTGTGAATTTTTAAAAGATTTTTTTCAATTTTTTTTTTTTACTTTTTAGGTATATTTATGTTAGGTATGTCTAAAAATTAAAAAAAAAAAATTGCTTAAAATATTTAAAAAATCAATAAAAACAAAAAAAAAACACGAAAAATAAGAAAGTAGAATTTTCTGAAAAGTGTTTTTGAAAAATGATAACTAAGCATACTGTTCTTAGTTTTAAAATTGAAAAAAACTGTTCATGTTTTCTATTTTGTATGTTCTCGATTTTATTGAATAGTTAAATCAAACAAATAAGTAAAAGGTCAAAAACATTTAATCTCATACTCTCTCCTTTTTTTTTATTATCAATTAGTGAAACAATTATCTGAAATATTACTATGTGAAGTTGATTATGTTCTTAGTTTTAAAAATTAGAAAAAAAACTGATAATATTCTTAGTTTTACTAAATAAAACTTGTTCAAACAATTTTAAATAGGATCTGATCTACCATAACATTTGTAAATAGGACTTTTAACTAATTAACTCTAAATTAAACTATCCCAACAATCTAAATATACTTAACACATAATATTTGTGAAGAAATTTAAAAGGAATTCAATAAATACAAAATTAAAAATATATTGAATTTTTATAATTTTTTGTATTTAATGATTTTTTTATAAAAAAAAAATTAGTAAAATTTATACTTTTAAATCTATGTTTTACACTTTATCGTTGTCGTAAAATTTTAATTAATTTTTTGTGACAACTTGATAATAAAGCCCAAACATAAAGAATTACATCATACTCCAAAAAAAAGGTTGGGAGGTCTGGTCTAGACAACCAACTCTCAATACAATTTAAATTGGGCCTAAGCAACTTTTCCATCCAACTAATTACCATTAAGGAGTGGTTTGGGATGATCTAAATAAATGTATTTTTTAATTTTTTATGAAAAAATATACAGAAAAATAAAAAAGTGATGTAATAAAAAAAATAAAAAAATAAAAAATATATACTTATTAGTATACCCCAGACAAGGCCTAAGCCTGTGCAGCTTCTTCTTCCCTTCTATGGGGGTCAAAATCTATCTTAAGGTCCCGAATGAGACCAATGGAATTCTGTCAGCTATATTTATAACAATAAATAAAAAGTGCTTTTGAATTGATGGCATCGTTTTATTGACATTTTTTATTTATTTATTTATTTATTTATTTTTGTTGGGTAAGAACTCAATCTTTACTCAAGGAATGTAGCCTACTTGGTAAATACTGTTTGAAGGTTAAGACCCCAGGTCTCAAGTTCAAAATTTCTTGAGCCCACCTTTTGGGCGTAGCGTAATTGCTTAGGAAATTAAGTCTCAAGTTGTTGTTACCAGCACTTGGTGTGGGATTAATATTCTCCTGCTGTGTGAGTCTTGAATTAAACGGAATTTGTCTTGGGAAGTCGGGATAAGTTCTCAGATTATAGTCTCTTATTTAAAACGGATAACAAAACACATTGATGATCTCTGCAAGGGACGTTGTCTTGGACCGACAAAAAAAAAAACTGTTTGTAGAGTAGTTTTTGAGATAAAAAGAACGAAAACCTCTTCGATTTGCCTTTTTTCAGAAATGGTTTTGAAAAATTATTTTGGGGAGAGAGTTTTAAAAAAAGTGATTGATTTGATATCTATGAAAGATAGTGATTTTGGAAAGTAGGTAACCAAACAAAATTTTGAATTTTTTTTTAGAAAAATTTGTTTGGTTTGATTACTCTTGAAAATTTGTTTGTAGAGAATTTTTCCTAAAAATTTTTCTGAAAAACAAACCAAACAAGGTCAATCTTTGAATAAAGTGTATTTTGTAGTATTATTAATTAATATAGATATTTCAACCTAGTATTTTTTATTACAAAAATAAGATATTACAGACCGGGCATGCTATTGCTTCATTTGTTTATGTGGAAAATATTTTGTACGGAAAAAAATTTTTAGAAAACATTTTTTAGAAAAACATTTTTCTATATTTGGTAGTGGTAGTGGTGGAGTGATAGTGGGGGCAGAGGTTGTGGCATGGTGGCGGGGCGGCGATGAAGGTGATAGCAATGTTCGTGGTGATGGTGGTATTGGTAAAATTTTAGTCCGAAAAATATTTTTTGGTTTCTAAAAGTAAAAAATATTTTATGTTCACATAGACTTATTTTTTATTGACCATAGAAAATGTTTTTCGTTGATTTTCATTTTTCATTCTACCAAATACTAGAAAATACGAAAAATATTTTTTATAAAATGTTTTCTGCCTAGACAAACGAAGCGTATATGTAATGATTCTGCCATTAACGATAATAGAAAATAAAATCAAAAAATCAATCATAACCACTACCTACATTTTACAAAATTGTGCACCACAAATAGGCTTTAATAAAGAGACCCGCGAACCCATAGAAAGATATTACATGCCGTTGTGGAAAAAAAATGATTTGTTGAGACAAAAAATAAATAAATAAATAAAAATGAAGTAGGAGAACCCAAATTCCAAATTAACAAATTCAAACTTAAAAATGATCTTTTTGATTCTCGAAGAGTGAGGGGCAAAGGGATTTGAACGATTGAAACATGGAAGAATTGAAAGAAATGATAAATATGTATAACTCAAGCTTATTAGATTGTGATAAAGTCTATGGATACAAAAAAGTGCAGAGAATCGACACAATGGGCATGAAGTCCACTGTCTATGTCTATCTTGTACACTTCTTTCTATGCCTACAACATAATTGTTAAATTTTCACCTCTTAATATCAAAATGTTATTCAAAATCTGAAGCTCACACTCTCATTTACTAGATGAATTACATTTCTTATTGAGTTAGTCTGTATATACAAAATTACTTACATATATAAAATTAAAATTCAAAAAAAGTCCCAACACCATGTCGCATTCTTGCAGAGAAATTTCACAAGAATACTGCAAAAGGGCCAGGGATGTGGCAAGTGAATTACTCAAAGGGATATCTATGAGCTTGGGATTGGAAGAAAACTACATAGATAAAGCAATGGAGGTTGAATTTGGGTCACAACTTCTTGTTGTCAATTTTTACCCACCATGCCCACAACCAGAGTTGGCCATTGGCATGCCTCCTCATTCGGACCACGGCTTATTGACCCTCCTCATACAGAACCAGCTTGGCGGACTTCAAGTCCTACACAATGGCAAGTGGGTCCCTATTAATCCTCTTCCTAATTCCATTCTTGTGAATACTGGAGATCACATGGAGGTAAATATATTATTACATTCCTTTCTCATGCTATTATGGTAGTAAGGTTTAAATTGGTGTTTGGTTACGAAGAAGTATTGTAGTGTTTGGTTACCTGTCATTATGGTGGTGGTTCTAGTAAATTATCAAATTAAAATTGGTTATATTTTGTTGTGATTTCTGATTACTTTCCAAAATAACGTTAGTTACACCTCATTGTGGTGAATTAAGTAAAATGATCAATTATGCCTCAAAATAGTATTAATTACAACCAAATGTAGCTATGAGAAATGGTTCAGGTTCAACTTTTAAATCCAACGACTGAAAAGTGAGAATGCAGATGGTATGTAATTTTTGGAGAGTTGTCTAGTCCAGGGCGTCAGCACATGTAAGTCACAGTATTCAATTGAATATTAACTTCTGCTTTTTCTTCTATATACATGTAGATGATATATATGTAAATCAACTCACTCCTTATAATTTGACTACCCCAATTCATAGATTTAGATTACTCATCTTACACATCTCGAACACCCACTCACTTCAACTTTTGCAAATCCATTCTTATAACTCACAATATCTTTTAATTTTGATGATGAAATACTATAAAACAGACAAAAACATCCATGAAATGAAGTATATATGGTATAATTAATACAATTTTGAGGTATAAGTGACCCGATCCAATTATATAAAACTCAGGTTTTACACTGTCAATAAGGTTGATTTTCTATGTTGCTTCATCTCTCTCGACATCAATAATCAAGCATAACAAAAAGAAAAAATCAACTCTAACAAAAAGAAAAAATCAACTCTAGCAAAGGCAAACGAAATATGGTGAGCTTGTGGCACACTTGAAAGGTCTGGAGTGTTATTTTTTTCTTCTTGAGTTTAAAACTTAATATAAATTCTCGTTGAATTAAATTATCAAAATAATTAAAAAATTTCTTTTATTTATGATTTGAATATTTAATTTAGTTTGTTATTTGTTAGCAATGAAAACTTGAATGCTAGTACAAGAGAAGTTATTTTTCTTAATATTGTATTTTGTTTTAATGATTGTTAATGGTCACATATATATTAACAATAAGATGTGTTTGGTATTGTTGGCAATGATATTATCATTCAAAATATAAATTCTCGTTGAATTAAATTATCAAAATAATTAAAAAATTTCTTTTATTTATGATTTGAATAGTTAATTTAGTTTGTTATTTGTTAGCAATGAAAACTTGAATGCTAGTACAAGAGAAGTTATTTTTCTTATAGATTTGATGTAGTGTGAAAAATTACAAATAAAATTCTACAATTGACTCTTATAACAAAATAATTTTTTTTATTTTTTATTTTATCAATTTAAATTTTCATGTTTTAATTTATTTTTAATTTAAATCATTTGCTTATTTTTGTTAAGTAAAATTGATAAAAAATAATAATATTTTAATTATTAAACTCAATATAGATATGTAAAATATTTAAAATACCATTTTTTTTTTTTTTGGTAGAGCATAATGACCAAAATATCATTTTTTATCAATCTTACTTAAACAAAACTAAACAAATAGTTTAGATTAAAAATATAAGTATATTTAAATTGACAAAATTAAAAGTTCTAAGGGTTGGTTTGGGAAGTGGGTTGACTTTTTGACTTTTTAACTTTTTGGCTATTTTAGCCTAGTCTAAAAAGCTTGGTTTGGGAAGGGCTTTTTGGCTTTTTTGACTTTTTTTGTGAGAAAAGAGTGTAATGATTATGGGTTGGATATCATGTTTTGTTTGTTGTGGCTAAAATAGCCTATTTTGTCTTTTGTGGCTAAAATAGCCAAAAAAGTCCACAAAACCACTTCCCAAAAGTTTATTTTGTTAGGATAAACTACCAATAGGTCCTAATAGTTGAACTTAATTCTCATCAAGTCTTATTGTAAATAAGTTCTTGTAAAATTGTCACTAAAAATATTTTTTTTTGATAATTTTTTTACATATATCGCTAAAAATTAATAATCAGTGACTCTTATTTGTTACGATTTTTATAAATTGTCGTTAAAACTTATAATTAGTGACTTTTCTGTGACGAATTTTTAAATTATCGAAAGTTAAAAATTAGTGACTTTTTTTCTGACTATTTTTTTAAGTTGTCACCAAAACTTGTAATTAGTGATATTTTTTGTGACAATTTTCAAATCGTCGCTAAAAATTAACAATTAGTGACTTTTTGTAATAGTGTTTAATGAAAAACGCTATTAATTCTTACAGGACTTATTGGATAATAAGTACACCTATTAACACCTATACATAAGTCTCCCTTCTGTTATAGGAGTCAAATTCTAAGAATTTTATGTTATTTTATTTTATTATTATTATTTTTTTTAATTTCCCCTAAAATGTATGTTTCTAAATTACCCATCCATTAAAAATTTTACAATCACCATTGATTTTCCTTGCTCATTATGTGTTGTTGATGTTTGTGGTGTGGAATGTTAGTGTTGAAACCACGAAAGAAAATTACCAATAAGTTTTATTTTGTTTTTAAAATTATTAATAAGTCCTATCAAGTTTTTATATGGATACTTAAATCCTTTTTTTTCATAAAACATTTTTTAAAAAGTTCATTGATCTATAGTGGTGCATGTTATTCCAATTTTATCTCTTATTCAATATGAATAATGTACGAGCAAGAAATATTCTTCTCGTATAATCCTGTTGACCAAGTATGCGCTCCTCCAAACGTCATTTCTTTACTCCCTGAAAACACAAACGTGAGCTAGCCGGCGAGTGTGTGCCGGATACCTCTCCGATGCCTAAGTCAGCAAAATAGACAAATAGACAAAAGCTCTGTGTACTCGGGAATCAAAGTTGTGTGTTACCTCTCCATAGGTGATGTTGTGAGCTTTTATAGGTTCCGCGTGGCACAATCCAAGTAGGACTCTTACTCCTCCATGTAGAATCCTCCTAGAAATCACATTCCTGAAAGATAATGCTTATCCTTCAACACCCCCCTCACTGCTTAAACAAAGTGAGATGGTTCTACCACGGTTGGATGTCAATACGACCGAGATAACATGGCCATGCTAAAGCCACAGACTAGACCGAGCTCCCATTAGCTCGGTTCTTCCTCTCACTGAGTGTACCTCGGTTTGACATATTCCAATTGGATTGTCTGAGACCGTACTAACCACAACGAGCTTGGACCGAGCTAACCAATAGCAAGGTTCTGAGGAAAGCTCAACATACTTCGGCTCAATATGGCATGACCGAGCTAACTGTTACCGCTCTCTTGCACCGGGCTAACTTCTACGCCCTTATACTCAGCCCTTCTTACTGCGGCCCTCAGAATGGCCCATTACCCAGCTCGGCCTAATTTATACATAAATTACCCTCTCAATTGCCCCTTAATTCCATCTGCGTAACATGATCGGGATTACCCGTTTCCAGCCGAGCTAACAACTTTAGTTTTCTAAACCGAGCTAAATTGTAGCCTTCATCCGAGCCAAATTTATACCGGGCTCCATTTACACCGAGCTACTAATCTGTCTGGTCAAAACGTCTTTTCAGCCATTATAACTGAATCGCTTTCTATTCCTTGGACACGTGACAAACTCTTACTGGCCCATCGTAGCTGTCACGCCGCCCTCGTACCTCACGAATTTTGAACAGTCCCGCCTTTTTTCCTTTATTTTTACAAAACAAACCCTTATGCTTCAAACCGTTTCACTTGCACTATTCATCTTCTCTCTTTTCTATCCTGAACCTCCATTGCTGCCATTTTTGCACCTGCGAAGCTTGTATTTTCAACATCACCTTCGTGGTTTCAGACCCACATCCTTCCTTCTCCAATCTGTAAGTAACTCAATCCTTTTTTGCTTTCCGTTTTGACTAGTTACATGTATTATTTGTATATATGTGCTTTCTTACAACACTTTTCAAAATAGTTTTCTCTGTAATGAGTAAGAACAACTTGAATAGTACCCATAACTACTGGTTTTGCATAAAAACTGAACTGGGATGTCTTAGATCCGAAAATCATACTCCAACCGGACTAGGAAGTAGTTCGTAGTAGGTGTGAGCCTTAGCAAAACTAAACAACCGAGCTAGGATTTTATGAAGACTTGCTATTTCAAGTAGGTCTAAGAACCTTTTGCTTTAATTAGCCAGGCTAGCGAGTTAGATTAGGTTTGCACAATGCCACACTAGAAAGCCACAATCCCCGACCGAGATAAAACTTGAGGCTAAACCAGCTTCCTTAGTAAAAACTAAACAAGAATGCTGCCCCAAAAGCTCCAACCGCCTATGAACTTCACATTTACTTCATCGGGCTAGAGTTCTTCGCTTAAATCGAGCTAACAATGAATAGTAACCCACAAAACCGGGCTAGAACTTCATTTATTTTGCCTTTATTTCTTTTAGCAGGGTCCAACAATCTGTGCTTAACACCTTTCTTTTTCACTTTGCAGACTCTGGCTAGGTTGGCCAGGTACTCCCTTGCACGTCCAACCAAGATTACCCATTATCTGCTTGGCGCCAAGCTAATACTCCAGGCTAATTTATACATAATTTAAATCCTTATGGGTAAATATAGGTTTTTAGTGTACTCACCAGGTGCTATGGCCGAGTTTCGAAGGGACTACCATATCCCTAATGATGTTCATCTTACTTTAGTCGAACTGGATACCACACCTTGGGGAAACCCAGGCTTCGTTCCCTTTACACTTCTTTCCATTGTAGAAACCAAACTAAGATTCCCTGTACAGCCCCTTCTTTGTGAGTTCTTTAGACAAACCAACCTCTGCCCTATCTACCTTTCCACAAATTCATACCTCATAATAAATGGCATCGTCGAGCTAAACCGCCAGGCTGGCTTTAACCTCGGTTTAGTCAAGCTTTTCCACCAATATTCCATAGGATCGGCTGAATATGGCTGGGTTTACTATTTAAGAATAAGACGCCGGCATGAAAGATAATAAAGAACACCCAGGACAAGGATGTAAACGATGATGATTTCTTCTGGGTTTCTGGGAACTTTGAAGACCACAAAGCCCAGATCCCGGGCGACTGAATTAATTAGAATAAAGGAGTCGCCGGTA